TATATATATATATATATATATATATATATATATATATATATATATATTATACATTTTCTCAACAACAGACATGTTTCCCCTATTTCAGTATTATTTGCATGAGTTGCAGAGGTATGTATTCAGTTTTGAACATGTTCATAGGCCTGTCACAATAACAAATTTTGCTGGGCAGTTAATTATCTTGTAACTAAATTGTCCCGAGGTATGAGTGAGGGAGTGGATGGTGTTTGTCTCGTTTGTCTCTATGTGGCCCTGTGATGGACTTGCGACCTGTCCAGGGTGTACCCCGCCCCTCTCACAGTGATTGCTGGACATGGGCACTGGCGACCCCCGTGACCTAAAATGGAAGAAGTGGGTAAAAGGAAATGTGTGGATGGATGGATAGTAATTATTGTCAAATTTAAGAATACATTTTGGGTACTTTTTGTGTGTAGTACCTTTTTGACCACTGGATGGCAGTATAAGACTGTTTGAACCGAAGATTGGATAGTGAGGGAGCGAGCAGCGTCTCTTTAAGAAAAATGGGAGGGAGGCCCCTTGACGTGACATGGACTGTCTATTGTTCCTGTTTTTTGGTTCTCAGAATGGCGGATACTCTGTGTGGCTTGAGCTCTTTAGCATTTTTCACACAAAGCTTTCAACAAAAAAAACAGTAAACAAGTTCTCAGCTTCTTTTTGCAGAGAAAAACAACACGAGGGCATGGGTTTCAACCTTGAATGTTGGACATTCGACAAGACAGAGGGTTTTTTTTTTTTTCCCAAAGTCGGCCTGTTAGCTTAGTTTGTAGCTTAGCTTCTCAGCTTAGCTGCTTTTAACCATCCAAAAATGCGATTTTGGATGGTTAAAACAGATTTTAAAAAGAAAAGAGAAAGGGAGGAGTCAGTGAAGAGCACTGGAGTTGAGACTTTTGTCATCCAGTGTCTTCAATAGAACGAGAAAAACACAAAGAAACGATAAAGCTGATAAATGAAAATGAGTTGATAATTTTTATTTATCATACGATTGATACAAATTGATTTATTGTTTATCGTGACAGGGCCTACATGTTCAAAAGTCAAATACAATAATTAAATTAAGAAAACAGTTTCATGTCCTATTAGGTATTAATGTAATTTCACTAAATATTTTATACAACATTATTTTACTTTCAGATTCCAATAAAACTTCACTTATGGTTGTTTTTTTTTTTGTTTGTTTGTTTGTTTGTTTTTTCTTTTGGCTCCTCTCTTCTGCAGAGGTAGAAACAGAAAGCAAACTCATATGAAAGTTTGTCAGTTGTTTAAGGTATTTTTATAGGAATGCTTTACCCCATAAAATGTTTGCATATATATGAGTTTGTTGTCTGGGTGGGATAAATAATCTACTTCTAACCCTTTAATTATCCATGACTGTTTTCAGGGGTAAATCTATGGATTGTACAGAGGAGATGTGTTTCTCATTTTCTCTTGTGCTGTAAGTGTTGTACCATACATGTTTTTGGGTGAGACAGGCAGCCCGCCATGGCGCGGTGTACATTTTTGGAGAAGACTTGTGTTTATTTAATACGAACACACCTGTAACCAGATGTGAATACCAAAGTCCATGCTCAATAATCCTGATTTAAAATCCAACATCGTTCAGTCAGGTCATCTGGATGTTTTTCTTTTTTTTTTGCTGAGATGTTTCGTCTTTCAAAAGACTTCCATAATCTGAGATACCACCAAACAAAACTGATTCCCACTAACGGCATACTCCATATTGGTGTAAAAAAAAGTTTGCTGGTGCTAAAATGACGTTTGGGACCTGCCCTCTCCTTTGGGGCCCACCCTCTCCTTTAGGGCCCGCCCTCTCCTTCAGGGTCCACCCTCTCCCTCATCAACTCCTCTGAGAGAGTCATGCCAAAGTGTTATATGTGTATAGTTAACAGAACCTGTATGTGCTTATGCCTGGGCAACCATTTTTTGTAACTCCTGTTGTAGATTGTAGATTGGGACCGAGATGGTGTAGAGGTGGGGCAGCCGACTTAGGACCAGAAAGTCACAGATTCAAATCCCTGCCATGTCCACATGTCCGTGAGCAAGAAACTTAATCCCTAATTGCTCCACGGGCGCTTACATAGCTGCCCACTGCTCCACCTGGGTGTATCTCAGTTGTGATGGGTTAAAACTAATGTCATCACTCTATGGAAACATACAATGATGACAACACAGTACTTATTATTATTATAATTATTATACAACAAGTAGCTGTTCTGTATTCTTCCAATTCTGACACTGAATGTCCAGAGCAAATTGGACCTTTCAAGCAGCTGGAGATAAAGTGTTTCAGATAGCAAGGAGGTGGGAGAGAAATTTACAGAATAAATAAAGTATTAAAAATTTTAAACATTAAAGAAAAGTACATGCTCTATGAATAAAATTATGAACCTATATTTTAGTCGTTTGTGATTTAATTTTTCTTTTTTCTTTTTTTAAATGGCTTTTTGTAGACGAACCCAGAGGAAGATGGTGGTGAGGAGTTTAAAATTAACTAAATCAAACTTTATTAACAAACTAGAAAAAACAAAAGCTGATGAGGCAGCACACTAGAAGAAAATCTAATATAAAAAAAACTCAGTAGAATACAGAATCATGATAAATCCTGAATGAACAGATACTGAAACTCACACAGAAGTCAAACATTGCCAGATTGACTAGATTAGGACATGGAGGGAATAAATAATCAAAAACTCATGAACAAAAATGATAACAAAAACAAGAACAGCTGAGTGGGCATGACAAGACATGATCTAAATATGAAGACTGCACTGAAGAAAACTGAACTGCTGACAGACCGAGCAGAAAAAGACGAGGAACATACTAAAACACACACACACACACACATCAGCCAAAAAGAGTAACTAAGCCTGATCTAAAAAAAAGTGTTGAGTTACATTAGTAAAAAATAAATCCAGTTGAAGTTGAAAGATGAAGATGACTTAAAATTAGTCTTTTTTTTGTGCAAATTATGCTATTTAACATATAACCCTGTCAGTATTTTTTTTTTTTACATATACAACCATTGTTCATTATTTAACAAAGGACATCTTTCATAAACAAAAAAATCATAGAGCATTTGACAATTTGCAAAAGAGGTTGGTAAATGAATATGATTGTTAAACAATAAAATACCTGCATAACTGGGGCTTCAGGCTTGAGTAATCTTAAAGATACGATTTGGTTTTATAACACTGTCAACTTTGAAGTTTTTGGCGTGAAAGGAAGAAGCACTCCCATCAAGCTACTTAAGACCTTCTTAGATTCTGAATTGGGCACAGCAGGATACAGATGCCCTCCATCACATGTGTTTGATGATGCCGCCTTTAACAAGGGGAGCTGATGCTTCTGCACTGCCCCAGATTGGACCTTTTCATAAGTTCAAATCTAAAAGGACTGCCCAAGAGATGTGGCAAGTCAATTTGACAGTCATACATTCATGATAAAGAAAAGAAATGCGTTTCTAAAGAAACCTAGTCAACACAAAATGCTGAACTTTTAAACAAGAGACTGTATTAAAAGGACTAAAAGATTTGCACTGGAGAATCTTTCTTTGGCATCACAATTTCATCATGTGTAATCCAATCCAACACCTTCTTTTTTAGCTTTTAGGGATAAAATATTAAAGTCCTCATAGGATAATTAAAGATTTTATTTTACTTGTCCTCTCATTTAAAGTTGTCCATTTCCTTCTTATCAATTATATCACAATTGTCAAAGGCCTTTAGAAAATCTTGCTTATTCTACATCATTCATCACACCAAGAACAACTTCTATTACATTACAGCGGAAATGTTTCAGCTAAAGAGCAGTCTAGAGGAGAAAATCACCCAAAGTTCATAGGCTTAGATAAAAAGGAAGCAGAATGAAAAGAAGTGAGATGATTGAACCCCTTCTTTATTCTGCGGTATGTCTTTTGTGCAGAGCTGCACTATGACTTTGATGCTATCTCTATCATTTAAGACACCTCGAATGCCTAACACAAAAGATTAGGATGAGCCTTCAGAGGCATTGAAAGGGCTTGAGTGGAATTCTTCTGATTCACTTCAAGTTTTGTTCATTATCAAAGTACAACAATGTAGTAAAATCCACCATTTTTAATTTGGAAATAATGCAAAGGACTTTCAATACAGACAATGAATGATGGATTGCTTGAGAAGATAAGCTTTGGCAACACAGTTTGTTTTTCTCAGATCAAACAATTTTTTACATGTTTTGCATACAAATCACAAATCAGCAGGTTTTGTTTTTATATTTAAACTTCATTGAAGTAGTTTTTTGAAAATGTATGTGAACAAATACCAAAGTACCCTTACTAGCTAGAAAAGGTTGACAGAGATTTTGCTTGGGATAATGGAATGTTGCTGATCATGCTGCTGGACTCATGCTGCTGATTATCTCATGCTGCTACATTCATTCATACAGATCTGCTCACCACAGACTCATGTTTGGTCTGGTGTTGATACGTCGTATTGTTTTACATTATTAGTGTTTACCGCATATCTTAGATCTTTTAACGTACTATTTGGTGTTTGTTTAGTGTATATCTTAGCTTCTTAGTTACGGCTTATTTTTATACTTTATATTTTGCTATTTTTGCATTTAACTGGGACATCTTGTACATAATTTTGTTCTACCTCATGTACCACATGTGATTAGGGATGCACAGTATTGGATTTTTGGCCGATATGCGGTATGCCGATATGTTAAAACTTATTTGGCCGATACCGATATTTTTTATATACTTTCCTTTGTCAGAACATAGCCCTCTTATTTAGGCTTATTTTCCACAAAAAACTGTGTAAAAGCTGTAAGAGCTGGTGACATATATTCAGTAACAGCCACATGATATGCATAGCACTTTAACTTATATTAAATGAAAAGTGTTAAATGTTATGTATTAGCATTATTCACCTGCGATGCTGTCTCACTTGTGGAGGCTTGTTTCAGGTTCCTAGCTGCAGTGTGGGATCCTCTGCACTCCTGTGCATGAAGGACAGCCTTTTTAATTTCAGTGTTTTTGTCTATCCATTATACCGTAAGACTAATCATGCTAACGGGGCTAACATGGCGTCCAAATGTCTATGGTAAAACTCACCCAAGTGTTATCAGCTATTAGCTTCTCAATGATAGTGGAAATGACGGCTTGTAAATCAGATAAGGCTACGTTAGAAAAATATCTCAGACTGCGGACAATGTAGCGAGGCTCATCGTAGTCCAAAAATATTCAGAATCCATTATCCTTAAAAAAAATAAAAAAATATCCACACCGTTGACATTTTGACTTCTATGCCGTGATCAGATCAGGTAGGCGCGCGTGATGTCATCACATTGCACTGGCGCTGGCGCTGCAGGCATCCTTGTCACTGGGTTGTCATACAAAAACAGTGTCTTTTATATTGGTGAGTTATTTTGATGGAATGGTCAATGTTCGATAATGCACTTTAACGTTAATATCGTCTGATTCCGGTACCATGCCATTATTATTGTGCATCCCTACATGTGATTCTAATGACAATAAAGATACTTGAACTTGAACCTGGAAAGACTGAATAAACCCTGCTTGTAGAGCAGAACAAATGAAGCTGAAGGAAGGGATGGTAAAGATGGAGGAGGATAAAGAACATCTTGCAAGATTGCCATTAACAGAGTAATTTGCACACTCAGGAGCAAAAAGAGACCTTTGAGTGGGTGGGTGGGATGGTTGACATCTGATCAAAACATCCATTAGGAAAGAAATAAGCTGCAGATGGTGGCCAAGTGGGTAGCAAACCGTTGTTCCCCTTTACAGCTCATCTGACAGAAATAAACATGTCAGTAGGTTGCCAAATAAAATATTGTAATTATCAGACTCATGTCTATTCCTATATTATCTGCTGCATTTGGATGTTAATTAGCAGGTTTTATTAGTTATTAGGAAACTATGATCTGCTTTCAAAGCAGAAACTTTTAGCAGAGCTTTGAATTTATTCCAAAGAAAATTCAGTTGTAGACGTACATCCATACATTACTTTCAGAGACATCCCTTCAAATGTGTCCACTGTCACTAAATTTAACATCATGTCCTGAATCTAGAGGATGTTTTCCAAACAGCTTCTTATGTTTTGATTGCTTAACACATTTTTTTAACAAGTCAACATTTGCAGCTACTCAGAATATAATATGTACACAGTTTTCTTTACAATCATTCTCCAGAGCTCTGTGATATGCTTCCAGTCTTCACTGGGTAAATAATATTCACCTCAAACTGAGTTCTCTGATATTGAGTGAATCAGTATGTTTTTAATATTACTGTTCTTTTGTAACAATAGTCCTAAATTCAAGAAGAACTTTACAGTCTGATAATGTGTGTTTGACTGTAGGGTGTTCTTCTTTATTGTTCTCTTTTTATTATTTACAGACAAGCTGATGCACTTTAGTTTATTTCTTGATGATTTCTTGTTTTTGTTGTTCAGCCAGTACTGAACTGTTTTAAGACTGTGAAATGATTCAAGATTACAGTCTGTTATAATTGGGAGTTCAAGGGGGTACATGATTCTTTTGCACACACTGAATTTGATCTGCACTGTTTTTATTACTTTTATTGATCTTAATGTTTTAACAACTGTTTTTATGTGTTTAAATGTTCTTGATTTTATATGTACAGCACTTTGTGGCAGCTGTGGTTGTTTTAAAGGGCTTTATAAATAAAGTATTATTATTCTTTTGTCAAATGCACGGATATTTTATACAATAAAGCATCATTTATTGGTTAACTCGGAAAAAATGATCTTGTGTGCAAATTTTTAAATAATTCTACATATTGAATTTACATAGTTTTATTTGTTAACCTCAAACTCTCTTTAAATTTTCCTTTGCACCATTATCTCGCCAATTCATTTATACAGAACAAAAAATAAACGCAACACTTTTGTTTTTGCTGACATTTTTCATGAGCTGAACTTAAAGATCTGTTTGTTTGTTTTTTTAATGTACGCAATAATCCTTTTTCTCTCAAACATTGTTCACAAATTTGTGTTAGTGAGCACTTTATCTTTGCTGAGATAATCCATCCACCTCACAAGTGTGGCATATCACGATGCTGATTAGGCAGCATGATTATTGCACAGGTGTTCCTTAGGCTGACCACAATAAAAGGCCATTCTAACATATGCAGTTTTATCACACTACACAGCACCACAGATGTTGCAAATTCTGATGGAGCTGACTGCAGGAATGTTCACCATAACTGTTGCCTGTGAATGGAATGCTCTTTTCTCTATCATAAGCCATCTCCAAAGGTGTTTAAGAGAGTTTGGCAGTACATGCAACTGGCTTCACAACAGTAGACTGTGTAACCTTGCCATCCCAGGTCCTCTATATACAGCAACTTCACCTCCAAGATCATCTGAAACCAGCCACATAGACAGCTGCTGCAACAATCGGTTTGCATAATGTTAGATAATTTTTGGCAGAACGTTTTTATTTCTGTTTTTATTGTATGGCTGAGATGGCTGAGAACATCTTTCCCTCATGCTTTGAGAACATGCCCGAAACATTCTCTTATCTCCATCTGGAGGCCGACTCTCCGACAACCATGGATCATGTCTGACTGCAGCTGGCTATTAGGGAATGCCCACTGGACTCTGCTGCTATATAAAAGTCTGCAGTTGACTATACAATGCTCATTCTGTGACATATTCCATGCATATGCATTGTGTATCTATGTATGTATGTCTTGAATGGGTCCTTGCAAGTAAAATGCTGATTAAAAATCTCCTGTCATTGAGTGTGGTTCTTTTGGATAAACAAAGTTAGTGAGAGAGATTTTCTCAAACACATATCCAAAAAAAATCTGTACAAATAGTCAGAATCCGTCTCAGGAAATCGCATCTGCATGCTCGTCATCCTTATCGGGGTCTCCACATGACTGCAGTTCATCGTCATAACCGATTTGAGTGGGCAAATTCTCACATTTGATGACGTTTGAGAGGTAAATGGTAAATGGACTGCACTTATATAGTGCCTTTTCTGTCTTATTTCAAGATACTCAAAGTGCTTTACACTACAATCTGTTCCTCATTTACCCATTCATACAGCACTCTACTAGATCTCTACAAAGCTAATGGAACAAATCATTCTAATGAGACTAATCAGTGCTTTAGATCACATTCATACACTGATGGGACACACATCAGAGGCTATGAGGGGTTCAGTGTCTTGCCCAGGGACACTTCATCATGACTGCTGGTGGATTCGAACCTCCAACTCTCACATTGGAGGATGACTGCTCTAACAACTCAGCCACACCTGCCCC